GGATTAAAAGGGGGGGAGGGGGCAGGGGGAGGGGGCGGGAGGGAAGGCTATACAGTGCACAGCAGTAACGCTCCATGGAGAGGCTGACTTTACAAAGGGAGGTCCCAGGTTCAAGTCCAGAGATTTCCCTGAACAAGCTAGGCACACGTACACCCATAATCCAGAGGTAGCCAGGGCTGGGGAATGGATTATAGCCTGAAGACAATCTATATCTCTTTCTATCTTGTTTGTGGAAGAGAGAAATAAAAAAATAATAACAAATAAAATTGAGAAAAAAAAAAAAACAGACATAGGGACTAGTCTGTGGCATAGTGGTCAAAACAACTGGATCCCATATAGCCAACTGTGCTACTTAAGTCCTGGACCATGCAGCTTGGAGAACCCACTGGCCACATGTGTGTACATGCCCCATATCCCAAAAGGAGGGAGAAATGAAGGAAAATGGATTGCAGCTTGACCATCCCCTACAGGGAGTGCTGCTCACGTTCCCTCTCTCTGTGTGTCTCTGGCGAGCACACATACAGTATATAATTCCAAGATTTTTTTGCTTGCTTATCTTTGTATTCATACTAATGGTGCATGGAGGAAGGCTAACTTGGCTCTCCTTGCACTCCTCATTGCATTTCTACAAAGTGTCTATGTCGGGGACAGCAGGTAGCATAGTGGATAAGGTGCTGGACTCCCACATGCCCAACCACAGTTTGAGTCCCAGACCTAGTGGCTTGAAAATCATACTGAGGTTAGGGCCACTGAACTCCCAAATGGCCAATTGCTGTTTGAGTCCTGGACCTGGCGACCTGCTTTCTCACTTTCTCTCTCTCTTTCTCATTCTGCCCCTCTCTGGTCAAATTAAAATAAATAAATAAAGTAAAATAAAATAATTCTTTTTAAAAAATCATGCTGGGCACATGCGCGTGCATGCCCAAATTCCAAAGAGGACAATGGAGGAGAAGGGATTGCAGCATGGCCATCCCCATGGGGATGGGGAGGGAGGGGGGCAGGGGCGTGATTTCTCACTTTCCCTCTCACTGTCTCTCTGTGTCTCTCTGGTGAGTACATGTGCTCTATGGCAAAAATCTTTTTAAAAAATGTATCTACGTCTATGTTTCTTAAAGTCTCTGTTTTGTTTATTACTTCAGAGAGAATTTTCTCTCTCTCTGTCTCTCTACTCCAGCTATGATCCTGGCCCTCAACTACCCCATCATTTATGTCCTAGCCCACGCTCCAAACATGATCCAAACTCATGCCCTGACCTGACCATTCTCTTGTATTCTACATTTCCTTAACATTTGTCCTCCCAAATGTAATACAACAAGGTCTTCAAAGAGTTCAAGAAAAATATGTATTATAAAAAACTTTGCATGGGAGCCAACAGGTGGCATGGGTGAGGCATTGGACTCCCACATGGCTGATCACAGTTCAAGTCCCAAACCTGACAGCTTCCTTTCTCATTTTCCCTCTCTCTCTCTGGTCAAATTAAAATAATAATAATAATAACAGGGACCAGCAGAGAGTATAATGGTTATGTCAATGGACTCTCACGGAGTTGACTGCTGTTCAAGTTCTGGACCCAATGGCTTAAAACTTCCGCTGGACATGAGGGGAACCAGCAGTTAGGGTAATGGCTATGCCGCTGGACTCCCACGTAGTCGACTGCTGTTCGCGTCCCGGACCCGGTGGCTTAGAACTCATGCCGGGCGCGTGTGTGTGCGTGCCAAAGATCCCAAGAGGAGAATGGAGGAGAAGGGATTGCAGCGTGACCATCCCCCCTGTTGGGGTGATTTCTCGCTTTCTGTCTCTATGTCTCTCTCTCTGTCTGTCTGGCGAGCGCACGCACCCTATAGCAAAACAAAACAAAACAAAACAAAAAAAACAACAACAAACTTCCGCTGGACACGTGTGTGGCGTGCCCAAGATCCTGAGAGGAGAATGGAGGAGAAGGGATTGGAGCATGGGAAAGCGATCACTCCTGGGGGGAGTGATCTCACTTTGTCTCTCAAACTCTCTGGTAAGTGCATGCACCCTATAGAAAAACTCTCTCTCTAAAATAATAATAGTAACATTAAATGGCATTAAATAATTCTTAAAAAATGTTTTGCATGGATTTCTTTTTTGAGGGAGGGGGTGCAAAATAAGCTTGTAATGTTTTGTTTTCTATCGGGCAGATAGAGACAGAGAGAGTGAAAGTGAGAAAGCAGTCTCTGGGGGAATGGTCAGGCCACAGTCCTTTCTCTTCCATTGCTCTCTTAGGAGTTGGGGCAGACATGCACATGTGCAGAGTGTTTTTCAAGCCACTGGGTCTGGGACTTGAATCACATAGTCAGCCATGTGGGATCCAGTCCCTTAACTATCATGCCACTGACTGGCCTTAAACTTGTACTTTAATTCCATCAATTTTTTAAAGAGATTCTTGCTATAGGGCACATGTACTCGCTGGAGAGACAGAGAGAGAGAAAGTGAGAAGTCATCCTACAAAGAGGATGGCCACACCACAATCCCTTCTCCGTTCTCCTCTTGGGATTTTGGGCATGCTTGCACGTGTGCCTGGTATGATTTTCAAGCCTCTGGGTCCAGGGTTTGAACCACACTTGGCCATGTGGGAGTCCAGTACCTTAACCAACATGCCACCTGCTGGCCCCTTCAATAAACTTTTTTTAGAGAGATTTTTGCTATAGGGCGTATGCACTCTTTGGAGGGACAGAGGAACAGAAAGCAAGAAATTATTCCCGGGGAGGATGGCCATGCCGCAGTCTCTTCTCCTCCATTCCCCTCTTGGGATATTGGGCATGTACGCACATGAGCTCTGTGTGAGTTTTAAGCCAATGGGTCTGGGATTCAGACCACAGTTGACTGTGAGAGTCCAGTGACATAACCATTACCCCATCTGCTGGTCCTGCCTCCCATGAACTTTTTTTTTTTTTTTTTTTGAAGAGGTTTTTGCTACAGGGTGTGTGTGCTCGCCAGAGAGACAGAAAGCGAGAAATCGCCCCCCAGGGGGGATGGCCACGCCGCAATCCCTTCTCCTCCATTCTACTCTCCAGATCTTGGGCATGCACGCACATGTGCTCGGTGTGAGTTTAAGCCACCGGGTGCAGGACTTGAACTGAGGTCGACTATGTGGGAGTTCAGTGACATAGCCATTACGCTAACTGCTGGTCCCTCCCAGGAACTTTTTAAAGTTTGCTCGAATTTGTTGAATGCATCTATGAATGGACAAATTTTGTACTTCTTTGCATTGATGATATGCTAATGTATTATGTGTATGATGATATTCAAACATTTGAGAAACTAACTCTGTGCCAGTCTACACATTAGATCGTTGAAAATGGCCTAAAAGGCAAGATGCTTAACCTCAGCGAACTGCTGACAGTGTAAATTATGTGTGAGTGTGTGTGTGCATGTGAGTATGTGTGTCATCTTACCTCACTCCTTTCTCTTTCTTCTCAGCACAGAAGGATTCAGCCAGTCCCGTGGGGGCCGACCGGAGGCTGCCAGGCTCCTGGTGGTTGTCACTGATGGAGAATCACATGATGGAGAGGATCTTCCCACAGCACTAAAGGCCTGCGAGTCTGGAAGAGTGACACGCTATGGGATTGCAGTGAGAATTATCTCTGAATCTGGAAGGACTGGGGTTTGGGTGGTAATTTCAAGAACTGGGAACTTGAGGAAAACAGGCATTGCCTACTACTTCCCAGGCTTTGGCTGTGTATCCCCCCTCCTCTTCTTTTGGCTATGCCTGTATCAGCCCTAACACCTCACTTCACACAGCTGATAGATCCCACCTTGATCTCCTGACCATAGGTCCTTGGTCACTATCTCCGGAGGCAGCGAGATCCCAGCTCTTTCCTCCGGGAAATTAGAGCTATTGCCAGTGATCCAGATGAGCGATTCTTCTTCAACGTCACAGATGAGGCTGCGCTGACTGACATTGTAGATGCATTAGGAGACCGAATTTTTGGTCTTGAAGGTAATGATCACCTTGGAGAAATGGAGAGCAGGGTGGGGGTTTTAAGGAGTATAGGTGGGGTTCTGGATTTAGTTCAGTGGGTCAAAGGACAACTGTTTTCTCAATATTTTCTCATGCCCAAGGGTCCCATGGAGAAAATGAAAGCTCTTTTGGATTGGAAATGTCTCAGATTGGTTTCTCCACTCATCGGCTAAAGGTTGGGCAGACTCTGACAACTCTTTGATCTCTAACCTTGGACACCTTCATGACTCCTTTTAACCTCTTACTCAGACAGCTTCCATCCCAGGGCCCTTCCAGACTCCTCCTTTAACTAACCTCCATGCCAACCTTCCCTTGCCTTTCCAACTGAACCCTGATCCCTGCAAGCCCTCAGTGATTCTCTCACTTTTGGAGAATTTTTTTGTTTTCCAGGATTTTGCCATAGGGTGATGTGCTTGCCAAAGAGAGAGACAGAAAAGGAAAGTAAGAAATCACCCCCCGGGGGATGGCCATGCTGCAGTCCATTCTGTTCCATTATCCTCTTGGAATTTGGGGCACGTATGTTCACTCACATGCCTGGTGTGATTTTCAAGCCAGTGGGTCTAGGACTTGAACTGTGGTCAGCCATGTGGGTGTCCATTATCTTAACCACTATACCACTTGCTAGCCCCAGAATGTTTTCTCCTCATTCCCCACTGTCTTCTCAGTGAGTCCATCTGGTTCTGCCCCACAGGATGGGATTCTCTTTGGGATGGTGGGAGCTTATGACTGGGGGGGCTCAGTACTGTGGCTTGGAGAAGGTCACCGTCTTTTCCCACCACGGACCGCCCTGGAAGATGAATTTCCTCCTGCATTGCAGAACCATGCAGCCTACCTAGGTGAGTATCAAAAAACTACAGAGAACTTGGGGCGGGGGTGGGGGAAGTTGAAGGGAGAGGAAATGTTCCCCTAGTAGGGGATATGAAGTACTCACTGCCTCTAACTTGGGGAATTTTTCACTGATCTCTTTGCCACTTTCTTTATGACTTACTCTGTGCTTTTAGACACCCTCCCCCCACCCAACTCTGACCCCGACTTCTTTCCCTTTTACCCTTGATGCCTTGCCCACTTCCAGGTTATTCTGTTTCCTCCATGCTTTTGCGGGGTGGACGCCGCCTCTTCCTCTCAGGGGCTCCTAGGTTTAGACATCGAGGAAAAGTCATCGCTTTCCAGCTTAAGAAAGATGGGGCTGTGAGGGTCGCCCAGAGCCTCCAGGGGGAGCAGGTAGGACATTCAAGGGCAGGGTGGGACTCTTGAATCCCCAGGGATCTCCAGGCTA